TATATATATATATATATATATATATTTTATTCCCCTAAAAGAAGAAAGGCTCTTTTTCCTTTAATTTATTGATTTATTTAGTTTTAAATTCAAATACAATATAAAAAAATTATATGTGAATGGAATGATTTATAAAGCCTATCATAATGGAATGATTACAAAGCCTATCATAATACATTTTACCCTTTTCTCCCTCCTCTCAAGTCTACGTCCAACCAATTAAGCTCATGGACAGAAGAAATTATTACGTGACGGCCGTAATAATCTCTCGACAGCCTGTTCTCCTTTAATAAATCCTCGCCGGTTCCTTCCACCGCGAGATCTACTTCCAACTCCCGTCAATGGCTTCAATTTCCGCCCAGTTACTGACTCTGCTGCTTCCTCTCCTTCTCCTCTTCGCCCACTGCTCGGTCGCAGACCACGACTCTCCCGAGTTTGCCCCAGTGCCCGCTCCTCTCCCCGGCGGCCGAGCATCGGCGCCGCCCTTTAAAGAAACATCAGAGTCATTATCCCCATCCCCGCTCTCTCCGTTGTCAGATCCGTCGCCAGATCTAGCGCCGCATCATTCTCCGTCTCCACCAGTTTCCGCGCCTTTCCCCTCTCCTGAAGAGGAGCCGACTTCGTCTACCTTTTCGACGCCTCCGTTTGATCTGATCGAAGGGGGAGATGAAAGCGACGTGCAGGCTAGTGTAGCTGAGAAGGAGAAAAGCTCCGTTGATAGTGGCGGAGGGATGACCGGTGGGAAGAAGGCTGCAGTGGCGATCGCGGCGGTGGCCGGAGTGGCGCTGGTGGGGGTGGGGGCTTTGGTTTACAAGAAGCGGCAGGATAACATCCGGCGGGCCAGGTATGGATACGCCACCAGGAGGGATTTGTTGTAAGAGTCGTAAGAGCTGAAAACTTGAACGCAATGGGCTGGATTTCTAGATCTGATTGATTGATTGTATCTCGAATCTCGATACCTTTTTCTTCACTATTTTTCTTCCATAAGTGTTCATTACTGGTTCCACGCTTCCAGTTACAGCAGATCAGGAATCAATGTGAGTTTTGGTAGACGAAGATCTTATGTTCTCTACTCAGTTAGATTGGAAGAGATCGATTTGTTTGATTTGTCTGTTTCTATTGCTGAATTAATGAAATAAAGAAACAATGAGACGCAAGCATCTTAGTTAAATTTCTTTGCTATTTTTCTTTGATTGTTTGAGCTATAAAGGCATCTCCAAGTTAAAAACCCATTTTTATATTTCAAAATATAGTAAAACTTCAAAATGCATTCATTCTCCTCCAATTGGAGGTCATTTCTTCTTCTTTTGCCAACTTACTACGAAGGTAATCATCTTTGGTGCTCTTTTCTATTCTTTCGTGCGCTTCTTTGACAAATCCCACGGTGAATTTCTTGGCGTAGATGAACAGTGCGAGGTTAATATTGACGTCACATTTTTCACATACCGAAATTTAGGGGCTGTTTGGTATAATGTAGGATTTCATTTAAGTAGGATTTCGTAAATCCTCCAAATCTTGGATTTATGAAATACTGAGGGGTTAAATCCTGAAAACTGTTTGGTAACATTTATGATAAATTCAGTTAAATCATGTGTAACTGTTTGGCTATAAAACATGATTTATTCAAGGGATTCTTACTCTAGCGCCTGGATTTCGTAAATCCTGCAAAATATAGGATTTCCGAAATCCCGGATTTCGCTCGAATCGGCGGAATTTTCCGTCTATCCCGGATTTCACTTGCCATGAGATTTGGTTTTGCATTTTAGGCCGTTTGGCTGGATTTCGCTCAAATTCGCCTCAAATCCGGCCAAAATCCTGCTACCAAACAGCCCCTTAGAGTTCAAATGGAACAAATGACGGGCGGATCAGTTTTGTTTGTTAAAAGCTATAGCTAAGAAATATTTTTTGCACCAATTTTTCTTCTCTAAGTAGTAGCCTCCATTATAATTATTTTTTTAATTATTTTTTAGGAAAACTCTTTGATGCTTAATTTAATTGAACGGGATTAGCAGAGGTATCTTCATCATCAAACTTGAGATTTTTTTTTTTTTTGAAAAAATACAATTTAAAAAATTTTAAAATTGGTCTCAAAAGTTGCAATTTATATGATATCATTAGAAATTTGAATGTATAAATTTTATGAATCTTAAATGAATTATTGCAAATTTTTGAAAATCCGGTGATAATTTTATAATTTTGGAATATCTAAAATATTTGAAATTTAAAAATATTTTTTTAGCTGAAACTTTTACGAAGAATGAGCTCATTAAAAAAAAATTATTCTTCAAATTTCATTATTTTTAAAGTTGTATATAATATTTAGTAAATTTTAAGAATTGGTGTGTGAGAGATTGGGTTTGATCGATTTTTGCATAATTTTTTTGGCTTGTTTGTCTGTCAAGTTCTGGGAAAATATAAACATGCACGGCTTTATGAGGGGAGAAAGTAGTTAGGCTTCGTTTTGGACGATTTTTTTAGTGCTTCTTAAAACGGAGTTCTAGTACAAAAATTTAAAATTTTGAACTAGAACTCTGTTTTAAAAAGCAGCAAAAAAGCCGTCCCAAACGAAGCCTTAATATTTTGTCATTTTGTGTATTAATTTGAATTTAATAAATGGTGAGTTTTTAAGTCTATACCAGTATACTGATATTCTGATTTGCAGTAGTCATGGCTGTCCAACCGAATGATAAATTGGTCATCTTTTTTTCATTATGAACAGCATGACATCAATATTGGAGTCACACTCTTTACAGCGGAGAGAAAACACAAAATGCATTTCTATTTGGCATTCGGATGGAGACTTGCGACAACTGTTAAAGGGCGATCGATGAATGGTGTTTGGTTCAATTGGAGATGCCCTAACTATTTCTTCCGCTTTGTATTTTTAGTACAATTTCGGGTCACGGGTCGGGTTCGGGTCGAACCCGAAACTGACCCGGCGCTATTCAGGTTAACCCAAACCCGAACCATTTTTTGAAAATGGATCAGTTTTCCTGACCCGAACCCGACCCGCTTTGGGGCCGGGTCAACCCGACACGACCCGAATGACTTGTTTTCAACCAAAAAATTGCTAGTTTTTTGGTAAAAAACGGGTATATCTCCTCTTTTTCGGGTCAATCTTGGGTTGCCGGGTCAAATTCGGGTTTTCGGGTCAAATTCGGGTCAATTTTGGGTCAAATGTTGAACCCGAACTCGACCCGTTTCGGGTTCGGGTTGACCCGAGCCCGAATTTTTCGGGCCGGGTTCGAGTCGGATTTTCGGGTCGTGTCAAATATTGACACCCCTAGAAGGAATTTTGAGTCTATATCATTTTCATTATACTTTCCCACTTGGTCCAAAAGAGGTGTTCCAAGCTTAAATTCTATTGGAGGGGTTCTTTGCTCGCACGAATAAAATCTTTAAAGTTCCATTAGGAAGATTTGTACATGCCCAAAATAGTTCATTTTTAATCATAATTTTTTTTTTAATATTTCACTTTCCGTAAATTATTTGTAACATTTATATCTTTATTAAGTGTTAACGAAGGCTTGTTAATATGACAAATTTATTAGCCTGTCAATCTCATTTTATTTTTTTCATTACTTTTTTTTAGTTGGTGGTAGGGGCACATATTGAATTTTTTAAATTACCCTTCAAGTTTTTCATTCAAGCTTGAAACCAATATTAATAGTCTTAAAAAAAGTTTGTATTTCTTTATTATTTAAAAAAATATATTAAATAAGATTAAAAAAGCTCATAATTTATAATAAATATTCTTTGTATTAAAAAAGAGTTGAATGATTACTTCATTTAGTTCATTATCAATATTATTCAATATTTTTTCTTAATATAAGTGACTAAGTATCACTAATTCATTGACCACTAACTTTATTTCATATATAATTGATTTGTTATTGTATTTTAAAAACTTTGATTATAATATCGTAATGTAATTTTTTTGTTATATAAAAATATAAATAAAATTAATTATTTAGGCCTCTATTTCAATAGAAAAAACTTATAAAAATATAAGAAAAGCTTAGATTCTGACCCCTTATTATTCCCAACTGAATAAATTTCAGAGAGTTTTAGATTTCCGGCATCAGACATAATCCAAAGGATTCTGGCCCATTATATTCTCAGCATATATTTTTCATATCAAAATTCACATAATTCAATCAATAGAATAAATAATTCATTACTGTATAATAATTAAAGCATGAAGGAACTCAATGCAAAATTTTCTCAACTAGCTATAACGGTAGACAACAGAATACACTACTCAACGAAAATATACTATTTTAGAATTTTACCAATTTACCAGGGATCATGCAAAAACATTGTTTCAAGACTTTAATTATATTACAATGCTATTTTTTGGTTCATGATTATTTTTATTCAATCAAAATGACACAAATTTCAAAATATCCGTTATAAATTTTCAAAAAATATTAAAATGTTCAGAATCTCAATGTCTATAACATACAAAAAATTAAGCATGTTAAAGTGTCCAATTTTGGAGAGATTATTAGGTGCGGAGTGTGGACGGGGAGAACCATCCGCACAAGCATTGGGTACCTAGCTAGGTACCACTCGGTACCGCTAGATACCCAGTACTTATGCGGACGGTGTGCACTCCGCACCTAATAATTTGTTCCAGTTTTGATGTCTCATATGAGCATTCCAATTACTTAATGTTAATAAAGCCAGGCTCATCCCATTTAACTTTATTTATGCAAGCATTGTACTTAGGATACTAATCTATATTATCATTATAAAGTACCCAAATATGATCTCACCTCTTAAAAGTTGTAGAATCCTACATTTATATAATTTTTTTTTCTAAAAGCTAGAATTTTCCTAAAATATATGATGAATTTTTTGTCCTATTACGAGAGTTCTGTCTCTCTTTCTCTATGACCGGCATTCGAGCTTATTAACTTCTAACTGCTTTTAGCTCACCTAGAAAGAGGGGGATTTACATATGTGCCATTTTATATCACGCTATTTACATATCTAATATCTAACACTCATAGATCAAATATGAGTGTAAGGAATGAAATATTTAAGTTTATAGTTGATTGATATGGGTGGTATGAACGAAATATAAGAGTGACATATTTCTTATTAAAGTTGTCTATGAGTGTTTGATATGAAATATTAAAATCTTAAGTATTAGATATGTAAATAATATGATATAAAGTGTTATGTATGCAGGGGGGTTGGAATTTGGGAACTCCATCATCTTATGCTCTCTCTCTCTCTCTCTCTCTCTCTCTCTCTCTCCATTGTTATTTTATGCTATATTACTTTTATAAATATTATATAATTAGAAATTGTTTGGGATAACTTTCTAATTGCTTTATTATTAAGATAATAATCATTTTTTTGCTACTATTTTCTAGCTATTTTTCAATTTATTTTTTTCAGAGGAAGCTTTTTTACTACCAAAATAGTTAAATTAATTTTTCTATGCTACTAAAGTGTTTTTCCTATAAGTTGTTTATCATTTTATATTTAATATTTTATCTTCTTAAATAATAATTTGAAAAAAAAAATAAAACTTCCTATGCCGATCCCAAATTTGGATGTAAAAAGTTGATAGAAAATTTTTAAAAAAATTAATTTAGGCCCCCTAAATACATTTTATGGCTCGGCCATTTAATGTATGAACCTTAAAAAAAATATAAAATTTCTATAAATAACGTGACTTATATTTTTATATAATTCATTTATTTATTTATTTATTTGTATTTGAAGTAGTTAGATTGCGGTTCCGAAGACCATTTTTGATCTTCGCAAGCGAGGCAAGGCAGCGATGGCGGCGATGGAGTTGGAGGTGGAGATGGAGGAGAAGTTGGCGACGGTTGGAGGCGATAGGGGAGAGGCCACTCCGCCGTCGAATGCTTCCTCCCCCGTACCTGGAGACGACAATCGAAGTTGCGGAGTGAACCTGCCCGAGAAACTGAGGTCAGAGGAGGATGGTGATGAGAAGGAAGAGAACAGTCCTTCTACTGGGGGATTGCGAAAGCGAGGAGCAGATTTTCATTCTCATTGGAAGACAAGCCTATGTTCCTTCTTCCGCCGGCCGCCTGGAGGGGTCTGCCGGCACGGCGACGCCTGCCGCTATGCCCACGGTGAGGCTGAGCTCCGTCCGCGCCCGGATAATTCCTGGGATCCGACCTCCGAGAGGGCCAAGAAGCTCCTCAAGACCAACGACGGCGACGCTATCTCGAGCTTGACCGAGGAAGACGAAGATGCTGCCGTTGATTTGTCCGGCCTTGACAAGTGCCTTATAGGTCTCCCTAAGAAGTGGGCTTCCGAAAACCTTAAGAGCTTCCTTGATAGTCAGGCAAATTCCTTAGCTTCTTGTTTTGTATTTTCTGCTGTTTCAAATGAGTTAAAAACATTGATTTTAATTTACTACGTTGCACAACACAGTGATTTTGATGCTGTTCGTGTCTCTTTCGGTTTCTTAACTATACAAATTCTACATGTCACATTTCTAACTGGAGTATTGGCCGTTTTCTGGTGGTTTTTAAAATTTGACTTTTATTAGCAGGGAATTTCGTATAAAACAGCAAAAAAGAAGAAAGGAATGACCGTAGGTTTTGTGAGTTTTGCTGACGCTGATCAGATTTTAAGTGCTATTGAGGTATCTTCTTTGGTGATGCTGCCCATAACTTTACTCTTCTTTCATCTAATGTTTGCTAGTGAGCTTCCCATGTTTGTTGCCCAGGCTGACCTTTGTTAAATTAATAGGTTTTGAAGGTAAATCCTTTTAATTGCAAGCAAGTAAAAGTTGCTGATGCAGTTTGTAGATCTCAGAAAAAGAAACAAACAATGGAAATCACTAAGTGCGGCTCAAGTACTGAGGATGGCTCTCTTCTTGCCTCAGGGGACGATGCAAATGTGCAAGGCATTCTTGCAAGGACAAAAGCTGTTTGTGATGTAGTTACCCCTCTTGCTCAAATGCCCTACAACGATCAACTAGAGCACAAGAGAAATTCATTGCTTCAAACACTTAAACGACTTGTAAGGAAAATTGTGCTATTCTATGCTTGGTCAAGTGGTTTTCCCATATCTCATGTTACATTTACATTTCTAAATATTGCTTCTCATATGTGATATAATATATGATCCCATCAATTAAGCATATTTTCTCCCTTTCTTGTAGACTCGTAATGCACGCAAGGCTTGCCCAGATGCTGTTCCTCTTCCAGAATGGGTTTTGAACTCTAGAGAAATTGGTGAGTTTGATGGGCGCTTGTTGATTGCTTGTCTAGATGCTGTTCCTTTTATTCAGTTTTGTCTAACCTCTGATATTTTGTAGATCTTCTAGGAGAAGTCATTCAGTTATGGATTTTGTTCTAGTGTGATGTAGAACAACTCAACATAAAGGAGAACAAACACTAGAAAAACGATTTATCTGCAAATGCTTTCATCCACGAGATGAAGCAAAATATATCCCACACAAAAGTATGTCAAATGAATGCGAGCATTATTGACAGGAATTGAAATCAACCAAAATATATGATCAACTAGCACTCCACAACAATAGATCTACCTACCCATCGCTATGAGTTGAAAAGAAATAGCCTATATTAATGAAGTAAATACGCCTACAAGATAAAAGAAACAAAGTTAAAGCAAAATAAAACCACATATGAAAATCCACTTATTTAGTCAGTGATGAAGCATAACATAAAAATTCAAAGATTTTCCTTAAAAAGAATTAAATCAAATCTTAGTCAGGGTAAGTTAGTAAGAATGAAAGCCCCAAACTGGCATAATTGGCCCAAGCCTTGGTGTGATTCAGACTTTTTATATCAAAATAACCAAAACCAAATTCAAACAACTGTGAAAACTCCAGTCACATACGCAACAATAGCATCAAAACTCCAACTCCAAACCCAATAACTCCATACCCAACATCAACAGCATAGAAAAACTATAGCTCCGAACTGTTCCAAACATTAGTACCAAAATGCAACAACAACAGCAATAGTAACTCTAGAAATAAACAATATTATAAACTCCATCAAACAACACAATAGCCACAGATTTAACTTCTGTTATAATCAATATAATCAGGAACAACCAAAACAATAAAGATATCAAGAATTTCATATGGAAACATTAAGAATTAAGATATACTCCATGAGTTCCACTGCCGATAATCAACATAACATAGAAGAAACCTCTTCTTCAGAGAATAAAAGTAAAATTTACATCGTAGCCTTCCTAGCCCGAAATACTGAAGTCCGACACTCAATCCAAACTATTCATCTATCCTGAATAAGATAAACCCAACTTATCGGTGCTTGTTGAGCCTTTGTTCTCTGAAGTGTGCATCACTCTATCTTATTTGTCATCTGCCTCTCTTGTTGTAGCAAAAGTGGAACATTGTTGAATAATGATTGGAAAGATCAAGCCTTTACTGTTGGCATTTACTTGTATCTGGGCTACAACATCTATGTTCTTCATGCTTGAGTACTTAATTAGTTAATTGCATGGTGTTTGGTTCTTTTTTTGAGTTTCTGCTTAATTTTAGAGCCACTTGTGGAACATTGTTGAATAATGATTGGAAAGATCAAGCCTTTACTGTTGGCATTCACTTGTTTCTAGGCTGCAACATCTATGTTCTTCATGCTTGAGTACTTAATTGCATGGTGTTTGGTCCTTTTTTTGAGTTTCTGCTTAATTTTAGAGCCACTTGTGTCCACATGCAGGAGGCCTTCCATGCAAACTTGAAGGAATACTAGAATCTCCACTTGTTAATGGTTATCGGAATAAGTGCGAGTTTTCAGTTGGATATTCTGTAGAGGGTAAACTGACTGTGGGGTTTATGCTTGGGAATTTCAGGTTGTCACACAAACATCAATTGTAGGAAAAAAAAAAAAGCTTGCAGCTACTAACTAATTTAGTTGAGTTTCAGAGAGGGGGTGGTAGCAGTAGAAGAACCGGGCAGCTGTCCAAATGTCTCCAGAATATCTTGCAAATATGCTATGCTTTTTCAAGATTTCCTACAGTCCTCTGTACTGCCTGTCTGGAGTAGAATCGACAATATTGGGTTTTGGCGGCAATTCACGGTACGATGAGAATTATATCTTGAGGATTTTTTTGCACCTTTACAAATTCACATCAAATAGTATTCTGCATAGATTTTTCTTCTTGAATGTTATCTTGTTTGGAAAATTTCCTTCAGTTCCATTGATCTATTCACCAAAAAAAAAAAAAAACACCAAAAAAAAAAAAAAAATGGAAGAAGAATTCATCCTCTTGAAGCCTTGGCTATGTAGGTTAGAGAGGGAAGATGTCATAGTCAAGTGGCTCTTGGTGGAACTGCACCCAATGAAATTGCCGAGGTCATGCTTTTAGTACAGGTATGCTTTTGTTGAAAAATATATTTCATCTATGGGGATAGTTCGTATACCTCTATTTTTTTATTCAATTCTAAAGCTGTCACTGTAAGAGAATTTGCATATTTTGATGCATTTTCCCGAGTAGTTGCTTAAGCATGGTGTGACTCGAGCCTTATTCGGTGTGTAATTTCAGTGTCACGCTTGTTTATTTTTCCATAGTTAACTTGCTTTAATTTGTCTTACCACCTGCAGGTTTGTTCATTGGGTCATGAAGAAGAACAACTCAGAAGTGAATTTAATAGAATGACAGATGCTTTAGTGCATGGAGCAGCTGCTTGTTCACCTCCTCTTCCTCTCACGGCAATAGTAGTGCAGGTGTAGTTTGCAGCAATATATATATATATATCTCATTGATGATGCAATCCTGATGATTATCTTAAATGTTTGTTTGTGTTCAAGTGGAGGGCTGCTTTATCTTTTTAGCTTGGTTTGCTTGGTGAAACCATCTTTTATCATGAAGTTTTGATTCTGCAATGTTCTTATTTGTCATATGGGCAGATTGGAAGCACCTTTTTAAGCCCTTTTAACGAGTTTGTAAGGAGTTATTTGTTTGGTTCTGTTATATAATATCTACGTGTACCGCCTAACTTAGTAGCTTGTTTTATATCTTCGATTTATGTACTGGTCTATGGAGATGTGCCATGACTTAGTTTTACTTTCAATTCTTCCGAATGAGTTTAAGAGAATTCTATCATTAGCAACTTCTTATAATTTGGCCATATGTTTTGATGACTTGATCGCTTCTATTTGCATGGGCCCAAAGTATTGTTGCTACATGGGATTATAATCATTATGCCGGTTGATTTTAAGTCATTTTTATGTTGATTTTAAGTCATTTTTTATGTTCTATTACAATTGTAAGAGGGTAGGGGTGTCTGTATTTGATACGACTCAAAAACCCCACATGAATATGACCTGAAAATTTCGGGCTAGGGTCAACCCGTTTTGTAAACGGGCCGGGTTTGAGTTCCAAAATTTGACATGTTTGAAAAATCATGTCAGTTCTGGGTCAACCTGCTAGCCTGAAGTTAACCCGGATCGGATCTGATTCCTCCACACAAGCACACTAGCACAGTCCCCACGCCTCTGCCAGTCCGCTGTACACCTACACATAGTCCCGTAGGCCTAGGGTTTGCTTTTCCTCTTCTCTCACCATTCGAACCTAATCGATGGGATTCACCTTCTTCGCTCTCATGAGGTAAAGTTTTGAACTAGTCTATAAAACTCTGCCTCCTTCGAGATGTTCCTCATGTTGGGTTGAAAGTCAAGACAACTCACCGTTCTGTTGTTGGATCGGAAGTAACGACGATGATGGGAGGGACTTGTGAGCTCGCTCGCTACGATGGTAACCAATAAAAGACTTCTTCACCTCCTTCGACGACGACGTTCCTTCCTGTTGGGTCAGAAGTCACGACTCATGAGACGGGTTGGAAGTCACGACAACTCGTCGTTCTTTTGTTGGATCAGAAGTAACGACGACGACGGGAGGGAGCTCGCTCGTTGCGAAGGTAGCCATTTTCTCTCATTCGCGTGCTTCTTCGGCCAAATCTTGCAGACTCACCTTGGTTTCATGTCGGGTTGGGTCAACCTGGAAACCCGACGGGTTGGGTCCGGGTTGACATTTATGACCCGTTTACAAAAACGGGTCGTGTTCGGGTCGTGTCAAACAGTAACGGGTCAAAATCGAGTTCGACCCGAACCCGATCCTATCCCGATTTTGACACCCCTACAAGAGAGGTCGAGGTCTTTTTGGAACCTACAATATTTCTTTTGCATGATAGGGCTCTTTCCATTCTAGGAAGAGTTTTGTGGTAGTGGAACATATTTTAACCTTTAGATATTTGAGATGGAGTTAACATTCTAATGCTCATTGGAAGTAAAAATGACAAACAAAAGAAGAACAACGTATGAACACAAAGATAGGACTGATTTTTTTATTATCTCTTCAACAAATAATGAAAGATACAGTTGATCTACTCTTTGAGAGGTAGATCATCTCTCCCACAAATCCTAGACGCTGCTAGGAACTCACAACAAACACTATGAAACTAAATTCAACAATATCATGATACCTAACCTTAATCAAAACTCCCCCTTAAATAGCCTAAGCCACAATAACACAAATAGAGCTTTCTAAACAATTAAATATATTTTAGGAAAGTTTTTTTTTTTAATTTATTTTTTTAATTTTATTTTTATATTTTTAGAAAACTTCTTAAACAATTAAATATGATTTAGGAAATCTTTCTAAATAATTAAACATGATTTATGAAATCTTCCTAAACAATTAAACATGATTTAACATATTTTAGGAAACATTCCTAAATAATTAAACACTTCTTGAATAACATAAATACAATTAAAAAACTTTCCTAAACAACTCTCCCATGATTAAGAACTTTCTTAAATAATTTCTCTCTAATTAGGAACTTTCCTTAGTAGCTCGACCTTGATTTCTTCTCCTTGCATACTTAATAATAGCTACCCTGGGCCCCACAGGGTTGGCCACCCTAGCGTATCATACCCCCTTCCAAAGAGCCACCTTGTCCTCAAGGTAGAACGAACGAAATTGCTGCTGAAGAATATTTTTCCAATGCTTCCGCTTATTGGTTAATTCTAAGAGGGTAGCATGAAATGTGTTTGTGCTCCCAGGATCTATGTCATGTTCAAAATTTTGTTTATATTCCCTCACAAAATCAACATGTTCATTCACAGCATCTGCTGGCATTTGCGGAGAAACAAGCCCTACGAACTCCAAATAGCTCCTTTTTAAGAGATTGTGGAACCTCAGCAGTGGTAGCATTTGGACACTTGTAGCAATAATGGAGTGATGCATTAACAACAACAACAAGCCGCTCATCAGGAAGAGTAACAAATCTCGAGCATATTTCTGATAGCAATGCCCCAAGTTCACTGGCCAAGTTTGGGCTCTTGTTTCTAAGAGCTTCCATTATGTCCTTTGCATCATCAAATGCACTGGTAGCAGAAGCAGCCCAACCAAGTGCAGTATCACGCCTAAATGGAAGTTGGTTGTTTTCTTGAGTAGCTGCAGAATGAGGCACATTCCAACTTACATTTGTAACTGACACATCGATCCAAAGGAATGCTTTGAAATTGTTCAGGTGTAGTTGATAGTTGAATAGAGTGGAGAGATGAATGTGGAATAGGTAGTCAGTGGCCTGGAACTGATGTCTCTGTAGATTACTGGATGGACCTAAGATTGAACAAGGGAAAAGGTGAATTTATTGTTTTAACAGCTGATCCAGAAGACAAATGTTGTGCAGCAGTTGGTATGTGGGCTACTTGTTGTTGACCATAAAAACATTGAGATTGCTAGTATCAACCTTGTTCACATTCACTGTAGAAGCTTCTGAACTGTGCTTCCAGCCAGGCTACTTTCCAACTTGTAATATGCAGTTTGGCGACCAAGAAACTACCTTCTTGGCTTTTAACACCTGATCCCTTCTACTGGATTCAATCCTAGATCCAATACATGATACCAAGATGAAATCAGTTTCTCTTCCAGTGGGTAAGGCCTTTATATATTCCAATATCAGCATGAAACTCCTAGGATTCTGTGTCTTTCCTCTAGGTCCTTCGGGAGGTCTTTATCTTCTTGCTTCATATCAAATTTCTAAAACATGTACTATGAAAGGATGTAGTGGAGGGTCATCCGATTTAACAGGTCGAAAATATGAAAAAGGTTTGCAAAAGCCCACTTTTATGCTCATCCTAGCAAAATATAATTTGCTTTGGGAGGTATCAGCTAATGAACTTTTATTTGGTCCGGTGACCTGACGTAGCTCTACGTTCGGACGCCAGTAAAATGATGCCACGTTCCCTTATTCTTTACCGCGCAGCCCGACGACCCGACCCGGATCGGTCACGGGATTGCTATGTATTGGCTGATTTGTGCAGATCGGGTATTGCTAGGTATTGCTCGGCAATAACGAGAAATACCATTCTGTGAAGACCAATACCGAGCAATACCTCGGTTTTGCTAGGTATTACTCGGTATTGCTCGGTATTGGTCTTGACAGAGCGGTATTTCTCGTTCTTGCCAAGTAATACCTAGCAATACCTAGCAATATTGAACAATACATAGCAATACGCGAACATAGCAATATCGGGTTCTGGTCCGGGTCCGGTTGTCGGGCCGCGCGGTAAAGAGTAAGAGCACGTGGCGACATGTTATTGGCATCCGAACGTAGAGCTATGTCAGGACACTTGACCTAATAATTGTTCCAGCTAATGGGCCAACATCTAGAATTACGATAAATGACCTTCCATTTCCACCAATAGAGAGAAGTAGATCATAGATCTCTTGCAAGCAGAAGGTCATTGATCGACACATCAAGTGAAAATGCCTACGAATGTGAAATGACCACATCAAAGTGTAAATTCCTACAAGCTACTACGGGGGAACTCTTCTCCCTTATAATGATCCTATCTATAAAAAACGATAGTGAAAGCATCACTAGTGTGGTGGATCCTTTATACACAAGAGGCAAAAGATCGTGGTGAATACAAGGATCTACCATCCGTGATGGAAAATGCATCTCATGCACAATAATATACATAGGCGGGTGATGATCAACAGTTGTGGATGTCATAGCACTCCTATAATCAATCACCATTCGACGGCCAATAAATCTATCACCCCCCCTTTTTTTGCATGCATAGCTACATACGCTGTGTATTATGCATCGATAGTATGGGAGATCTTCTATAAATAAGAGATAGAAGATGGTGACGAATACGAATGATCACTATTAATGATGAGGGAGTCACCACATACACAAGAATGCTCCTACGGGTGATGATTTATAACGAGAAGTAAAGGCTAAAGTCTCTTTGTAGCCAACAACTACATAATTGAGATTAACACAGTGGCCCGCTACAAGGAGAGGTGGGACACATTTAGCAAATGCAAACACCTACAGGCCGTCGTAGGATATTTGCTATACATGCCATCCACTAGTTAATATAGAAGATTTCTGTGGGCTCCGAAAAATTCCCATTTAGGGTGTGTGATCCCGGCCTCTCCACGTCATCAGTCAATTTTTCTTTTAAGTATTTGTGTGACGATGACGATAGAGAGTTTTAACGAGATTAGGTTCCGGGGGAATTTTCAGAAGGCAGATTGGGTTTTAGATAAGACACTACCCAGAGATTTCGCCCTCATTTAGTGAGGACTTTTTGATCTGAGTTCTGGTTTCCTATAGGCGCAAGCCCCTATAGTTAATTACCCCTCCCGATAACGAGAGAGAACTTTCGATTAAGGCTAGTCGTTAAGGATGTCACATAGGTTATAA